ATTTTGCATCGCTAACAAGCTCTCAGTTTACATTGTTGCTGTTGGTCCAGAGCAAACTTTGAGCAGCAAGATGCTAGCAGTGGTTTTCAATGTCTGGGATGACTAGGTCCTGCCCCAGAGACTTATGTATTTGATCTAGGCACTGAAACTTTTTAAAACTTCTGCAGGTGATTTGAATGAGCAGAAAAGTTTGAGAACCTCTATGCCAAACATGATGATGATTTATTGATTTTAGTTATAATATCAGTGGCCCTAATGTGTTCCCTTTTTCTCATTTTCTTGCTAAGCCCTACCTAGCCATTTTTATCCTTTTCAGCTCCAAATATCCAGACGAAGGTGTGGATCTGGGTTAGGACTTCATCGTGTTGCTCTTATCCATCTCTGAGGAGTGGGAGGAAGTTCTGAATGGAACTAGGAGGCTCAGGCAACCTGGGATTGGGAAGAACAAGCACAGTGTACTAGCGGTGAATTTAAAGGAAAGCTGGTTGAGACAGAATTGGGGGGGATTGCCACAAAAAGCTATCACAACAGAACCTGTCCCCAGTCTTCAGCCTGAATGTGGGACAGCAAAAACAGCCATGTACCCTCCTGAGTCCTGGTGGAACCTGACAACCAAACCATTTTTCTAAGGGTTTTCCCATATGTGTATGCAGGGTGACGTGATGGGTAGAAATACAAGACAGACCGCCAGTGCTAATGTATACAACTGAAGCCTTTCCCCCAAAGGATACATAATACAAATGATCTTTGAAGTGAGTGGAGGATGATGATGGTGATTATGGTGTAACTCATAGCTACTATATAATGTACTTAACACCATGCCTGGCATTGCTATAAGTGATTTACATAGATTATTTAATCTCAGCAACCTAATGAGGTTGATGCTTTTATTATCTCTATTTTATATATGAAGAAACTGAGGTACAAAAAAGTTTAATGACTTGTCCAAGTTGAGTGGCTAAGTTGGGATTTGAACCCAGGCAATCTGAAGTTAAGAAACCACTGTAGCATACTATCGCTCCAAAATATGAAAGTAAGAAGCATCCTCACTAGCCAGATGGTTTTAAAAATGTAAGCACTCGCAAAGAGATGGTCACCTTGTTCTTCCTCATGTCTAGTAGAGAAAATATATGTATGATCTGAGACAAAGTCACAGACAAAGTCATTTTGTCCAAGAGAGGAAAGAGATCCTCAAATCAGGCAGATAAAGAAATACAGTGGGAAGACCAAATTAGGCTTAGAATAGTAAAGGGGCAAGAATAACTTCTGGAAGCTTAAATGACCATAATCCTCATTTTTAAGAAAGTGTTACCCATCTTGTTTCTGGCACCAACAGACTAATATCTAGCTAAACACAGTATTGACTTTGAAGTTGGTTAATGAGTATTTTAATTCATTAAAATAAAAGAAATTACATGCTTAGTCTATATAAGTTTAACTTACTTTAGTCCTTTAGTGAATTGTGAATTGGCTCCTGTTAGTGGTCAGGAGAATGCTTTGTATTTGGTGTAGAAACCAAATAAATCAAGCTATTATCATCTTTTGAGTACAAACAATGTTTGTTTGTAAAGGGCCAGTTTTATATTTAAGTAAACATTAAAATCTGCATTGAAGCAGTGAGTCTGCATCTTTCAGCTGCCTGTGCTCGTTAAATGAAATGTTTAATCCTGCTGTGTCGAGCTCACTAGAAGGTCACCCCTCACTTTAAAGCCAAGAATACTGCCACTGTCACTGCTATGGTAAGTAACAGCCAGCCAGCCTGCTAGCAAAAGGTGATAGCACCAGCATTATAAATAAACAGGACTGGTTGTGAGGTAGCTACACAGTTTTAAAGATGCTGTTAATGAACATTATGGACAATGTATGGTGTGGCTAGTTGATAACACTTTAGCTGATTTTTTTCATGAGATGGAAAAAAAATCAGCAAAATAAAGGCACATCTTCAGTTCATTTAGAAGTCAGCATCCAAGGTAAAAGAATTCTCTGTTGGACTTGACATCACTCCCATCCTCTGATACTCACCTACTCTCTTTTCAAAGAAGTTAGTCTTTCCTTCCAGTGAAATATTCTCCATAAAGTCAAATGGATTCTCTACTCTGAAAACCTTCCTAAAACCCGGTTCCAGCATAAGTCTATCTGCCACAAACTCAATGTATTGCTTCATTAGAGTGCAATTCATTCCGATGAGCTTCACAGGCAAGGCCTCAGTGAGGAACTCCTGTTCTATCTGAACAGCATTGATAATTATTTCTCTTACTCTCTCCTCTGATGGTTTGTGTACTAGGTGTTTGAACAACAGGCAAGCAAAATCACAGTGTAAACCCAATTCTCTGCCCCATCTGAGTAGAGTGTTGTGTGATTAATGAATCTCTCAGGGCAAGGAGCTTCTTAAGTTAAATCCCTAGAAATTTAGGCATGATCTGGGCCTTCATATGAGTGAGAAGCCGTTTCATTTTATTTCTCACTGTAGTTTCCCCAACTTCTAGTTAATAAGATTCTTGAAGAGTTTTCACATGTGGGAGCTAAGGTAGTCTTGTAAAATTTCAAGTCATCCTTAAACAAAATGACCCACCTAAGATCTTGCTCCTGTTAAGAGACAAAATTGTTTATTCTAGTTTTGTTTGTATGTAAGTAGGTTGTGTGAGTTAATTCATTTATATTTACTATGTTTTTTAAATTAGAAATTTTTAAATTATGTATGTCCTTTTAGATTTTGCCTGTAGTTCATACTTTGAAATAATTGCCGGTGTCTTATTCTAGCATTGTCTAAATCTGACCATCATCTAGGGGAGTCTTAAACTTCAGTAGGAATCCATGAGTTATAAATACAGTTTCCATTCAAATATTCATTTCAAAAGGAAACAAATATTCTTAATAGGGCTACTTTGAATTAATCTGCCTTTACATTTGAGAGAAAAGAAAATCTGTCTTTATGTTTAGAAGCCGTGAGTTATTAATACAGTTTCCATTCAAATTTTAATTTCAAAAGGAAACAATCAAATATTCTTAATAGGGCTACTTTGAATTAATCAGCCTCTAGGTTTGGGAGAAAAAAGCTGAGACATTGCTTGAAAGATGATGCAAGATAAATGTTGACTTTTGGCCCCATTTGTTAATTGTATTCACTATTTGAACATTGTTGTGTTCTGTTGTTAGTTTTCATCATTTACTGTATAGTCAATTTTTAAATCTCTGTATAACTTTTCCTAGCTTTTAAGTTATTGTTACCTAAAGTTAATGAATCCAGATTAAAATAAAGGCTTTGCCTTGCAAAAAAAAAAAAAAAAAAAGTGTTACAATACAGTTATCAAATAAAGTAATAATTGCATATCTAAATTTGTTCATATTTTACTACTGTTCAAACCAATCAGTTAGTGTTAGAAAAATCGAGCTACACATGTAACTTTGAATACTGCATATAAAACCTGTAATTTTTATTTTTTATATAATAATCTACATGTAGCACTGAAGGAACAAAATGTTTCAAGTAGTTTTTCAGAAACATGCAACCTAAGGTTTATATACAAATTTCATCTGTTTAGATAGAGAACAGACTGAAAGATATGGCAGGAGTTGTCAAAGAAGAAAGAAAAAAAAAACAAAAAAACAAAAAAAACCGTAGGCTTACATCACTACCAGTTCTCTAAGGAATCTTTCTCTTACTGGGAAATAATTTCATTCTATCCATAGTCATAAGACAAGATAAAAGAACTCTTTTCCACATCTAGAAAGGAGAAGCTAGAGGTCACACTGATAATCAGCACAAGCTGATTTGAAAATACACTGGGAGTGGGCACTGGGAGCCATGGTCTGGAATAAGGTAATGGGAAGGTGGGTCCAGAAACTCTCCGGGTGTTCAAACATCTCAACTATCCCCTAAATGTTAGCTGCCCTGAGCTTGGGGATGGATTTGTCACACTCTCTTACACTCTTTTTCTGGTGAGCTCATCCAATCACATGACCTCAGTATCATCTATAAAATGTCTCCCACATGTATATTTCCAAACCTGACATTCATTTTTCCATCTACTTGACTGATGTTTCCACTTGGATATCTAATAAGGATCCAATATTTCACATGACATATATTCCGCAACTCTCTACCCTATGTGTCTCCACTGCAAATGTCCTGAGGTTAATAATAGCAACATCAACGCAGGTCCTCAAGATCAAACACCAGAACTTAGATCATTTTCCCTATCTCACAGTCCTCGCCTCCTGTCCATGAGAAAAACTTGTCACTTTATCCAAAATCCATCTGGAACCAGTGAATCTCTCTTCATATCCTCAGCCACTATCACAGTTCAAGCCACACTAGACCCTCACCTGGATCAGCTACAATGGCTCTACCTGGTCTGCACCTTCAACTCTCCCTCACCCCTCTACATTCTTCAAAACAGCCAGTCACTGGCTTAACAGTTGGGAGTATTTATTCTACTTTCTATTCTGAATCACAAATTGGACCTCCAACTTTGACCTGTTATTTTTCAGTCCTTTTACTGAGGTATATTTTTTCCATGTTAGTTTATTGGAAGAAATGGCACAATTGAAAGTTTAAAAAAAAAAAAAAAAACAGGAGTAGAGGATTTATAAGGGCAATATGCAGGAAATCACCCCCATATCTATGGGGAAGCCAACCTAAGTCTCAGTCCCACTATCTGTCACTCCAGGTGAGCTTGGCAAAGATGTATTCTGCCTTGCTGTCACCCAGAGCCCCAATCATGCTGTCTAGAAACAAGAAAAGTTATCCTTTGCTTACTCAAACAAAAAAGTTTTCATGAAAAATTGATGACCCCCTTTATTTTAATCCCTGCCCAATCCCATTTCCTTCACTTCTTCCCCAGAGGCAGCCACTAGTATGAATTCCATACCATGTTTTACACTGTATCATGCACATGCACCCACAGATACCATGACCCAAGACTGCTCACCCCATCTAATCCTACCCACCCCACCCATTTCACCCCACCCTACCCCACCTCACCCAACTCTATCCCACATGCTCTCAAAGTTTATAAGGGGAAGACTAATGTGTTTTCCAGGGGCGCATAGAATACCTTTCCCCTCCGCTTGCACAGATCCTGAGCTGCATGCAGATGGAGCAGAGCTGGGTGGAGAGACTGCTGGATACCTACTTTAAACCTGCATGGAGATGTGCCCCGATTCCTAAAAGGTGAGAGTGTTGCAGGCACGCATGAACTGGACACTTTATTGCTTTGAGAACCAGTTAACTTTATTGCCAACAATGGTAAAACTGAAAGGAAAATACTGAAGAGAACGTTGTGAAAGGGTAACATGCATGTCCCTCCTGGTGGCCCGACCTGGGTAAGGCACACCATGGCTGTAGGGCCCGTCTGGGCTCAGGTCTCTTTCTCGCTGCCAGCCAGGGTAAGCTTGTCAAAGAGGTACTCTGCCAGGCCGGGTTCCAGGGACCACATCTTGCACAGGATGCTCAGGTAGCCACCCAGCTCTTTCATGGTCTTGGCTTGCTGGTTGAGGAAGTGGCTCTCCATGAAGTCGCACGGCTGGGGGTTGCCCTTCACAAGGGCCAGCTGGTACAGCTCCACGAGGCTCTGGTTGATGTTCTCCTCCAGGTGAAAGGTGCACCCCATGGCCTCGAGCCTGCTCTCCCAGCCTCGGCGCTCTGTCTTCCTAATGTTGTAAAGGCAGATGTGACCACTGTGCTGGTTCTGCAGCCTCATCAGCTCCTGGGCATGCTCTCTCTCCGCGTGTGACTGGTGCAGGAAGTATCGGCCAAAGTGCTCCAGGGCTGCATCATCCTGGTCGAAGTAGAAGGCCATGGACAGGTACATGTAGGAGGCATGGAGCTCCAGGTTGATCTGGATGTTAATGGCGGCCTCGCAGCTGGGGTGGTAGTTCTAGTATACCTGCAACACTGGGGTGGTGACCATGACGGGCAGCTCGGGGCATAGTGAGCAGGTGGGCGGCAGTGGTGGTGGTAGTGGTTGGCTGAAGGTAGATGGCTAATGGTGGACAGGGGACCATAAGTGGGTATTTGGGCCCCTTAATGGGGGAGGGGTGCACTCCCTTTCAGGGGAAGTGGGCTGGGAGTAGAGTAGGCATTATGTTCCATGTGCAACCCACTGAACTCTGCATTGTCTGACCTCTGTTCAATTTTTAGTTTTGCAGTAACATTTCTAATGTCCAAGGACTTTCTCTTATGCTCTAATTGTTCCCCTCTGTAACAGCTTCATCTCATTTTATAAACCTATTGTTTCCTTAAATTCTGAGAATATCAATTTGATATTTTTGGTAATATTCTCTTCTGTTTCCCATATTATATCTCCTTCCAGAATTAGTTCTGCTTTGTCTAGAGTTTGCCTTGAGTTTAAATATCTTAAAATAGATGGCTGGGCATGGTGTCTCACACCTATAAATCCCAGTACTTTAGGAGGCCAAAGTAGGAGGATCACATTTGAGTCTAGGAGTTCGAGACCAGCCTGGGCAACATGATGGGAACTTGTCTGTACACACAATTTCTTTTTAAAATTAGTCAGGAATCGTGGCATGCAACTGTGACCCTCAGCTACTCAGGAGGCTGAGATGGTAGGATCACTTGAGCACAGGAGGTTGAAGCTACAATGAGCCATGTTCACAGAAGCACTCCAGCCTTGGTAACAGAGCAAGACCCTGTCTTAATTTTAAAACACTAATAAAATAAAATAGAAAACAGCAAAGTGGAATGCAACAGTTTTAATGAAAAACTAATATAAAACCTAGGTTAACAGGGAATTATAATTTTTATTAATTTATCCTATTTTACTTATTAATACACTCCTGTGTCTTTATAATCGGTCTTTCCAAGTAATAAAAATGAATCCCTGTAGCACTGAAAATTTTCAATATCTTTAGATAGAACTACTTCTTTGTTATCTCCTCTACCTTTTTAAACATTACTCTAGACTCATCAGTTTCTTTAACTTAAAGGTAGCTGCCCTGAACTTGATCTCAGTATCAAACCAAAAAGTTAAAAATTATCTGTCTAACAGTTCAGATTGCCACTTCTCAGATAACAGGAAATCAGCCTACTCCTATACTCTTCCCAAATTGTCCCAATTATATTGTAGGTTCTATTAGGTTTCCTTCTCCTCAAGACATTATATCTTAGGCTGCAAGTGTATCAGCTACATGGTATGATGCTGATGAGTACTGGCTTAAGATTCAAAAGCCCTCAAGCCTGTAATCCCAGCACTGTGGGAGGCTGAGGTGGGTGGATCATGAGGTCAAGAGATCGAGACCATCCTGGTCAACATGGTGAAACCCCGTCTCTACTAAAAATACAAAAAATCAGCTGGGCATGGTGGCGCGTGCCTGTAATCCCAGCGACTCAGGAGGCTGGGGCAGGAGAATTGCCTGAACCCGGGAGGCGGAGGTTGAGGTGAGCCGAGATCGTGCCATTGCACTCCAGCCTGGGTAACAAGAGCGAAACTCCGTCTCAAAAAAAAAAAAAAAAAGATTCAAAACCCACAAGTTCCAATTCCATTCAGAAGTCAGAAGTATCACAGGTCTTTTGGACACTTAAAATACTGCTCTAAAGTTGGAAAGAATATTACCTGCTCTGTCTATCCCAAAGGACGTTGTTCTAAAGAATTTTAAATTAGTAGAGGTTGGGCACAGTGGCTCCCACCTGTAACCCCAGAACTTTGGGAAGTGGAGGTGGCTGGATCACTCAAGGTCAGGAGTTTGAGACCAGCCTGGCCAACATGGTGAAACCCCACCTCTACTAAGAATACAAAAATTAGCCGGGTGTGTGGTGGCAGGTGCCTACAGTCCCAGCTACTCAGGAGGCTGAGGCAGGAGAATCACTTAAATTCAGGAGGCACGGGCTGCAGTGAGCCGACACTGCACCACTGTACTCCAGCCTGGGTGACAGAGTGAGTGAGATTCCCTCTCAAAAAAAAAAAAAAAAATTTAAACAGTAGAAATTAAGACAAAGGTTAAGCCTAAGAATAGGTATCAGCCACCACTTTTTCTGTTTCTATCATATCTGAGCTTGCATAAGTACGATGTCATGTATCTTTACTACTGGCCCAATAAGAACTGGCATAAGAAGCCTGAAGGTAAATTGTTTCATTGTAAAACCCCGGCATAACTGTCACTAATTAAATTAGGAGGGCATTGTGTTCAATGAGGAGGAGAGGATGAAAGGAATGAGGAAGACAGAAATAGAAGACCTGGGACCTGGCTCCTATTTTGGGCTTCATCAGTATCTTGTAATGAGGAAATCAGGAAATCGACAGCTCTGGGGCTATTTCCTCATTTGTGAAATGAAGAGCTTGACTTATTTGGTTTTTGTGGGCGGTATGAAAAGATGATTAGAACCAATTCCATGGATCATTCTTCAACAATGAGCCATTAGCCTATTCATGATGATCAGTGATTGGTATCAAATATTAGCTTTTGGAATTGAATATTATCTTAATATTGAAATAATAATGCCATTTTAAGTTATAGCATTAGTGTGGCCCTCTAAAATATATAGTTCAAGGAAAGCAAGAGCCTTCCTTGGATCTACTGGTTGTTGTAGTTCACTAGTGGACAGATTTCCTGTTTCAGCTTGACAGTACCCAAGACTTGGGCTAACAACATAGGGCTATGGCAAAGTTAGAAATTCTTTTGCAATTCCTTTTATTGTACTTTGGAAATAGTTAAACTGAATCTTATTTCTTTTTTCTTTTTTTTTTTAAGATATTTGAAATACAACTTTATTCTGATTCTAAATGAAAAGGAATGGGAATGACAGTAACAAAGAAGATTTCACCACTGAATATTGTGATGTGACTGCAGCAGTCTCATATCTGAAACTCAAGGAATCAACTGCGTTCCAAACAGCTAAATATGCAGGTCCAAACAATGAAGGTATATTTTAAACTGCCACATTCACTCCGAAGCCCACTCATCTCCTTCAGCATCCCACAGATGAAGCACATGTTCTGCTTAGCTAGATAATAAGGAGGTGGCACACACGCTGCACCGCTGACATCACAGGACAGCTGCCTATAAAACTAGACTTCTGACGCTGGGCTCCTGCTTCATTCTCACAGGTCATCATCCTCATCCGGGAGAGCAGTTGTTTGAGCAACCTCTAAGTCGTGCTCATACTGCGCTGCCAAAGCTGGGTCCATGACAACCTCCGGTGGGGCAAGAGCAGGCATGGCAACAAATTCCAAATTAGGGTCTCTAATGAGCTTCCCAGCAAGCCAGAGGAAGGGCTTTTCAAAGTTGTAGTTACTTTTGGCAGAAATGTCATAGTACCGAAGATACTTCTTTCAGTGGAAGACAATGGATTTTGCCTTCACTTTCCTGTCCTTAATGCCCACTTTGTTGCCACATAACATGATGGGGATGTTCTCACACACTCGAACCAGATCCCTATGCCAGTTAGGCACATTCTTGTAAGTAACTCTGGATGTTACATCAAACATTATGATGGTACACTGGGCTTGGATATAATAGCCATCTCTGAGTCCGCCGAATTTCTCCTGGCTGGCCATGTCCCACACATTGAACTTAATAGGTCCTCTGTTAGTGTGGAACACTAGGGGATGAACTTCAACACCCAAGGTGGCTAAATACTTCTCAAATTCACCAGTCAAATGACGTTTCACAAAGGTCGTTTTTCTGGTACCACCGTCACCAACCAATCTTATTTCTATAGTTACTGATATACCAACCATGAGAGCCATGGTAAAATGTCCTGCCCTAGGGGTGACTGTACCCTAACACTAAAAGAAAGAACTAGTGAAATGCCCATTATTAAGGAAATCAGCAGATACCCACTATAATAATAACTAAATTACAGTAGTCACCTCATCTAGATCAGTACCTCTGAGGAGTGCGTAGCAGTAGTGATTGGTTGCTGTACTTTATCAAATATAACATAGCATGAATTGAAGAGTATACCATTTGTGTTTATTAAACAAGAAAAAAGGACTGGGCATGGTGGCTCACATCTGTAATCCCAGCACTTTGAAAGGCCAAGGTGGGTGGATCACCTGAGGTCAGGAGTTTGAGACCAGGCTGGCCAACATGGTGAAACCCTGTCTCTACTAAAAATACAAAGATTAGCTCAGTGTAGTGGTGGGTGCCTGTAATCCCAACTACTCAGAAGGCTGAGGGAGGATAATCACTTGAATCTGGGAGGCGGAGGCTGCAGTGAGCCAATATTGTGCCATAGCACCACAGCCTGGGCAACAAGAGGAAAACCCCATCTCAAAAAGAAAAAAAGAAAAGAAAAAGAAGAAAAATACTGCTTTCAACAAATCCATGACATGTCAAAGTATGTAAACTGCACCTCAATTTCAGAGAAGTTAAAATGTGAATAAATGATTGAACAATCAATGAAATATGATGTTTAACTGGTTTAGTCATCTACTTACCTTGCATACATTTATCAAAGTAGCTGTGTTTTTTCATTATCCATAATTATTTATACTTTTTAGTAATTTATTGATTTATTTTTTTGAGATAGAGTCTCGCTCTGTCACCCAGGCTGGAGTGCAGTGGCATGATCTCGGTTCACTGCAGCCTCCACCTCCTGGGTTCAGGTGATTCTCCTGCTTCTCTGTCTTGAATAGCTGGGAATACAAGCACACACCACCATGCCTGGCCAATTTGTTTTTGTATTTTTAGTAGAGATGGGGTTTTACCATGTTGGCCAGGCTGGTCTTGAACTCCTGACCTCAGGTGATCTGCCCAGAAACCAACAGAAAAGAAAAAAAAATGGCATTTTCTGCTGGCTATCATATCATTTCACAATGCCTTAGTCTCATCATTGATTGAGTGGTTTTTGCTTCTTCTTGTCCTTTTTGGAGGGAGAGGTTTAGTGTATTAGGCTAAAGAATATAATTCCTTAGGTAACAGCTAGCCCCTTATTCTCTGAATTCATAGCTAACTTCTTCCCAGTATGCTATGGGAAACATATGACATAGTCTTTCAGATAGAATAATAGATGCCCTAGACATTTACCAAGCGAAGTTGCTTCCCTAGGGTTCTATTCAAATCCCAATTTGAATGTGAGTGTTTTATTGTCATCAATTCCATTGACTGGTTGCAGGTCTGTAACGGATAGATAAAACATCTCCTAACCACGACAGTACTACTTATTAAGCAGTGAAGCATCCCAAAGCAGCAACATGAGAGGTGACAGGGCCACAAGTTATATTAAATCCATGATGCAAATGATTCTACAAGTGACAGCAAATAGATCTGTCAGGCTCACCGGTACCCAATCTCTGAGGATAGTTCTGAAAAAGGTTGGCACTGGTACTAGGAGAGGAAACTTGCTGAGGTAACTTTAGGTCAAGGTTAACATACTGCTTGCATGGGCAGGAGATCCCCCCACCAACTGAAAGAATTCTACTACTTTATTAATATTCTACAGTCTGAAATTCTTCTAATTCAGTTACTACCATAACTTGACATGAATAACTGACACTACACATAATTTATAGTCTACAAATGGGCTCAACTGTCAGAGACTAAAGTTCACCACTAACTTAAAAACAATATCAACAATATAATCAATAAAAACCTACTTTAAATGAACTATATAAGGGACAACATGTTAATGACCTGCAACAGTCAGACCTTCCTCATCTTTTTAGAAGGTAGCTCACAATACCAGTTGCATAAAATTACATATTTTGGCCCTATTTAACTTATTTTTAAGAGGTTCCAAAAGTAGTGAGGAGGCCTTTGGGAGCTCCAGGAAACCACCTCCATGTGCCTAAAGGGAAACTTCATATTTGGTTCCCCAAGGAGGGTCTGAGATACGTCTAGGGAAGGCAGAGAAGATTTGAATGGAAATACATAAGGTATGGCTAGAAGAGGCCCACAGCAATGCCCCACGTTTGCCTCCTATATTTCTGTGCCCAGACTGGATTTCCACCTCCTTTCCTTCCTGAATTCCCTTCTCCCTCACAACTCTTTAGTCACTAAGGGTGGGGACAATATTCTCAATCTGGCTCTAGTGCCATCAGCAGATCATGAGAGGCTAATGAAATAAGAATTTCCTTAACAGTGCCAATGAATTGGACTTTCTGCCTGCGAGTACAATGAGTAATCTCCAGGACCTAGTGATCAGTTTTTAGATACCTCAGACACAGTACTTCTTGTAATTGCTAATCCCAACCCACAAGTGTCTACATGCCACCTCCTGCCATGGGCTCTGAATTCAACAGTTTCCAATGTAGTTTTTGTAACATATCCTAGTATGAAGGGGGACTGCGTATCTCTTTCTTCACCAATAACTTCTACATAAAACAAATTTAACTGGTGACACTTTAGAATGAGAGGTATTATCTAAAAAGGGATTGCTGAACTTAGATCTCAGATCCTTGGATATTAATAACTCAGTTTCTAAAATATAGCTGCAACTTGGGGGTAGAATGGCATGGAGTACACAAGAATGGGATAAAGACTTGGGATGATGCACCCAGACACAAGAGTCATCCATACTCCTAGAAATACCACCCCCTGCAGAGCTCTGAGTATTCTAAGTGGTTTTAGCTGAACTGCTTTCTTTAGAATCTAACGAAGTGTTACCAAATAAAGTAAGTTCCATGGCCCCATGGAGACTTGTGAACCCTGGATTGTGCATTTTAAAAATGAACTTTCTTATTTTAAAATAATTTTAAATGTACCGAAGTTGCAAAGATAATACATAACATTCTCCTGTACTCCTCACCCAGTTTCCCTTATTGTGAGCTTCTTACATTAGGATGGTAAATTTGTTATAATTAATGAATCAATCCTAGTCCATTACTGTTAACTAAACACAACACTTTATTTAGATTGTATTAGTTTCCCCATTAATGTCCTTTTGTTCCAGAATCGAATTGACATTTCATCGTGTCTCTTTAGTTTCCGCTGGTCTGTGACTATTTCTCAGTCTTTTCTAATTTTTTTCCCACGACCTTGACAGTTTTGATACTAGTCAGAAATTTTGGAGAATGTCTTTGGATTTGGATTTCTCTGTAACTTCTTCATAGTTAGATTGGGGTTATGAGTTTGTGGGGATGGAAATAAATGAAGTCTCTCTTCAGTAGATCACATGTGTGACTTAATAACTTTGATCTCACCAGTTCAAAGTAGTTTGACAGATTTCTCCACTGTAAAGTTACCCCACCTGCCCCCACCCCCTGACCTTTTCCATACTCTGTTCTTTGAAAACTGGTCTTTAAGTTCAAGCCACACACAAGGGAAGAAGAAAATTAAGCTCCACCTTCTGAGGTGGAGTATTTACCTACACAATTTGAAATTCTAGTGTGGATTTTTCTCTTTTCACCTATTCATTCATTCGTTCATTCATTCATTTATAACATTATATAATCATGTGTATTTTGTGCTTTGAGCTATAATCATTATAAATAAATAAATAATTATATTATTTATTTTGTTGCTAAAATTATTCAGCTTTGGCCACTAAGAGCTTCTTTAGGTTAGTTCCAGTGTCCCTTTAACATGCTCCCATTCTTTGGATTATAGCACTTCCTTACTTTCTGGCACTACAATGTGCTCCAGCTCATCTTGTATTCTTCATGCTACAGCCCAATAATGAGCCATGTCCCCCAAAATTCTGTCTTATTTCATCGTAGAATGGAATTAGAAACCCAAATCTGGGCACTAAGTGGGACTATGCAGGTTTACTAAGCACCCAGCCTGTTCCTATACACTCTAAAGTTTGAAGACAAACACCGAGGAAAGTCAAGCAAAATAAACGAGAAATTATATATGATTAAAAGTTCTATAATAGTTGTTTTAAAGAATTACCACTATTTTCTCAATGTTAGTGCAAGCTTAACAATTCCAAATGTAGAGAACCCTCATGGTCTCATAGAAAGAAGAGAGAAAAAGTGATAGTGGTGAAATAATGATTCCTAAATAAAGTGGCAAGAATTCAGCACCTAAAAACTAGAATAAAATATATTTATTGAAAGTTTTCTCTGTTCCAAGCACTATGCTAAGTGTACAGCCTCAAACCTAATGCTGTAGGTATAATATCCTCCTTTTAAAAGATACCAAAATTGAGGCCTAAAAGATGAAATGTTTGCTCAAAGCAATACAGTCAGTAGGTGGCAGAGCTCAGACACCAAATCAAGGTCCATCTGATTCTCAAAGCAGAGGATTTTGGCATGACAACTCAGCTTTATTAAGGTATAAATGACAAATAAAAATTGTGTATATTTAAGGTTTACAGCATGCTTATATAAGCCTTTGTGCATATGTCTGTGGCTTCTACCAGAGCTCAAATGCCATGAGGGAGGAGCAGCTTATTCATTGTTGTATATACTGTGTCTGTTACATAGTAAGCATTCAGCAGATAATGTCTGAATAAACCTGACCCATTTTCTACATGATGAAAATGAGTACTGTGAAGTACAATATGTTTTCTCCCATTGTATAATTAGACATGTATTCCAAATTAGGTAAACAATTACACATAATAAACATTCTACTGAAAGTAGACATCTAAATTCACATATTTCGTGTTTGAACATGATTAAAACATATGAGTAAAAAGTGTTCTGGGTAATAAATTTTAGTAAACAAAAAGATAGTAAAGATAGTCTAAAAGTATAAAGCAAATCTCAAATCCAATCATTTTCTTCACTGCCAAGATGAAGATGAAAGTGTGCTGGCAATGCTAGATCCTCATTAACATATAACAAACATTATTCTGAAATACTTGTTCTGAAAT